CTAGAGATTTCTATGACTGAAAGCATGTATCAGGAAATGTTAGATGATCTTAAGGTCCTTTCCAACCCTAACCTTTCTGTGAGTCTATGATTGACTATGCATTTAAACAGAGGAAGAGGCAAGACTCTGTCTTCAGGTTCTTTCCTGCTTAATTTTATATTTCTATCATTTTCTCCAACTTTTCCTTTCTTTTAGGAAGTTTAGTACCCTGTTTTAAAATGAAAAAATATAACATCATGGAACACTGAAATTTTTCTTTTAATAATTATCTTGCTGCAAATAAGTACCTGCATAAATGCCTTTTTCAATATATGCTCATATGTGCTGTTTTCTACACAGCAGGTAAATCAAAGTCATCTCAGACTGAACAGGAGAACAAAAACAAAAATTCAGATGCTGTAATCCTGGAAGAGAAGATTGACTTCAGCAGAGGCCAGGTGCTACATAGGTATGTTATACAAAGTACAAAGAAGTTGCTTCAGCCAAATGTTTAAGCATGTAATTGATTTGAATCTCATATGTGTTCTATAATAGTGCGGAGATGCATAATGTTAACAATCAGCTTAGGAATTTCTCTAATGTGATGCCTAAGGAGTACATTAATTTTTAGCACAATATAAATAATCCTAGAAGGTAAGAATTCAGGTGTGTTGTTTTTCCAAGGTATTCTTCGAAGGAGAGTTTTCTTTTTCAGATATATATTGCATGAACCATATGTATAGACATGCGCATATATATGTATCTATGCATACATATATCTGACATCTGTCGTGCATCATGTAACTGCTCTTTTTTCTTTCCTATGTTGAAAATGAATGGGTTGATGTGAATGGAGTGTTATTTTGCAAAAAAATTATTGCTTGGATTTGGTTTAGTATCAAAATAGATGGTCTGCTTTTTCTCTTGTTTATTATTTTGGTAAAATGTTTTCTTTCCATTAGTTAGATTTTAATTTTATACGTTAATATGATTTTTGTAGAATTTCAGGCTTTCTAGACGTCTGGCCAAAATTAGAGAAATGGTTTTCAGTCCATCAAAATATTCTAGTGAAAGTCAATGCAGAGAGAGAAGAAAGTCTTGTGTGTGAAACAGTGAAGGAAATTATAATAGAAGAAATTTTCAAAAAACAGAATAGAAGTAAGTTTTCCTGTTCTTACTTTTCACAAGACTTTGTTCTTTATAATTAAAACTAATACTGATCAGTAACTGTATGGAAACATACGTTTTACTGGCTTTGAAAGAATTTGGGGATGTGTGAGTCAGTGATAACTGACAGGCCAGAACTCTGAACTTCCCTGTTGTGTTTTTACCTTTTCAGAGGATATGGACCTATTTCATGTAATTGTAAAGATAGTTTGAGAAAAATAAAATGTTTAAGTGTCAATTTTATTTACTTATATTTAATTCTGGTTTAAATATTACAGCTAGCATCTTCACCATATGGAATAGCATAATGGTGTAAGAAAGACTAACTTGTCTTTATCAACATATATTAATCTATTATCATCAGCTTAAAACCATGGATAACTTGGAGTGGTTTTGACATGTGTTTTGGTGCATCTTTATTCCAATTTTCCTTTTAATTACCCAAATAGAATGAACCACCTAAAGAAAGGAAAAATTATGACATACCCAGGGGAAAAGATGCATCAAGTAAACTAGAATTAGTAGACTTCTAAATAACCAGCTTTTTTCTCCATAATTATTACCAGAAAGTCTTGATGTGTCTTCTACCACCCAAAAAACCCCCCAAAACCCAACACCATACAAACAAACAAAACCTGTAATAGCTTGAAAAGTACTCCTAACAGTCCTTGCAGTAAAAGTTTAGACCACTACTCCTGCACAAGGTTTCCAGTTCATTGACTCCTGCTGGAGTCAATGGCAGAATTCCTATTAATGCAAATGGAGTTTAAAATTTCTGGTTAGAATCCAGCTATCTTGTAGAAGTACTTTAAGGACTATTTACTCCATATGGAGCAGTAATCCCTGTGGTCAGTTAATAGTGTCTGATTTTATATTTATATTAATAGATTCCAAGCTGTCCTTCACTGTTAGGTTTATACAGCAGAACAGAGGTACGAGAATATATATTAATTTGTAGCATTCTGCGAAGGACACGGTAAGGCTAAATGCAGAGATTGTAAAATATTTAGCAGAAGCTAAAGTAGTTGGAATATTTTATGTGGCCAACAGTTTTGTTCATTTTATAAATCTAAGTCAGGAGAATGATAGCAGTTTTTCCATTGAAGCAAGACTGGTTTTCGGAGGCAGATTTGTCACACTTAAAGTAAAACAAAACAGATCTACTCTTTAAATATTAAGTTTCCTTCAAACAAAGAGACAAGACTGTTCCAACGTTGGTTTAATGCAAGCTTGTTTATTTTCTTTGCGTATTTTCAATCAACAGCAAAACTGGCCAGAGTTTGTGCTCATGATTCTGAGCAGATAATTAATGTTAACTTAAAAATCTAGTTGTTGTAGGATCCTTCTGTGGTCACTGAGGAGAAGCTGGTATCTTTCTCGACATCGGTTCAGATCTTAGGATCGAATGCTCTGAAGCTGCTAGTACACTCAGTATTATTTTGCGATACTATAGGTTAGCGGGGTTAGTTTTTCACTTGTTTCTTTCTCTAACATGATCTTTTCTGTCTCTTTTTACCCCATCTATCTTCAATACTTCTCAGCTTCTCATCAGACTAAGGTGTATTTTCCACATTAGGCCAAATTTAGCTGAATTTATCTGTTATTTCTTCAATGTTTGTTTTTATTGATTCATTCTTTCCCAAGTCTAGCACAGAAGCTAGACTTAGTTTACAACCAATCTTTAATTAAGCAGGTAGTCGCTGAAATGATGACAGTTACAATGAATCTCAGAATTGTATCAACACCACTGGCCTTGATTTACCTGGTAAAGAATTTGTTACGTATATGCATATATATTAATTCATTATTTTTCTGTTTTCCTCACAGTGCTGGTTTTAGAAAAGTATCAGTCCTGCAAAATATAAGCTTAAATGGAAAGTGATTTTATAACTTTAGCATCAATGGTTTGATTCATATATTTTTTGATGAACAACACCTAAGTAATGAAATATTTAGTATGTTCCATTATCTCAAACTTGTCAGAGTAGCATAGATTCTGTTTATTGATGTTTAAAATGCATTTGAAGGTACTAATTGTATGTTCATATAACAAGGATCTGCTAAAGAAATATCACCAGAAAAGAAGATTTCACCAGTTAATATAAGTAATATGGATACACATACACAGGAAGACCTACTTCCTCCTATTCCTGTGGAACCACCACCAGCTGAACCAGGATCAGATGAATGGATTTATGTAGATGAACCACTTCCCAAGGTACATTAATTCATGATTGAAAGTCTTAGATATCAAAGTATATATTTTTCTCAGTATTTTATACATATTCTACCTGAACCTTTTGTCTCACTGTGTTTTTTTCTTCAATATTTTTCAATGAAATATACACTAGTACTGTATTGTAAATATTTAAAAATACAAATAACAGTTGTTACTAAAATGTATGAAATAAGAAAACACACTTTAAAATTTTGATCTTTTTTTTATATCTAAATTCTTCACAATGATGAAGAAGAGCACATAGATGCCAAATTAATGATACTTTTTAATACTATGACATACTAACATAGTGTTACTAAGCCAGTTTCCTGTCTCTGACAAAGGACAGTTGTGGATGCCTTAGAAAGAATGTAAGAAGGGGGAAGTGTGCACTGATCTTTCTCCTAGGATACTTTTTTCTAACATGTTTTCCCCTGGGACATCTTCCTAGTTTGCAGTAATCTGAAATTTAGGGTTTTCCTGAGATTATTTTAAAACTTCATCTTTGTGTTTAGTAGCTCTCAGAAGACATTTCTTCCATGATTATGTCTAATTTCTTTTTTTTGAGCAATTTACATTTTGGTCTCCATGATACAGTTTGTATAATTATGCTCATTCTGGAAAAAAATAAAATCTGTCTCTCCACTTTAAACCTGCTGTTTGCCTGGGTCATTTGATGACGCCAGTTCTTGGATTGTAGCATATAACGAATAATGCTATATCACCCTCTGAAGGTATGAAAGATGTGACAGGCACCTATAACATCTTCATTTAATTCGGTGTTGCTTCATGATTATGTCTAATTTCTTTTTTTTGAGCAATTTACATTTTGGTCTCCATGATACAGTTTGTATAATTATGCTCATTCTGGAAAAAAATAAAATCTGTCTCTCCACTTTAAACCTGCTGTTTGCCTGGGTCATTTGATGACGCCAGTTCTTGGATTGTAACATCTTCATTTAATTCAGTGTTGCTTTGCTTCATCGATACAGTCATAGTATGTTTAACTCACCTCATGTGGCCAGTTCATATGTTCAGTCATCATTCTTGCCATTCTGTTTGTTCTACTGTAAATTTTTTTGAGATGGGGAGCTGGCACTGTATGAAATATTTGAGATTTAGATTTCAAAGCTGCTTAATGTTGCTTTGTATTTTGTTCTGTAACTGGTTTCCTAATATTTACCAGTTTTGCCTTTGTGACTGCATCAACCTCACATACACTGTATTTCCTCTAGCCATGGGCTTCATTTCGTATTTCATGAGTGTCACTCAGTCTGTCTGCCTGAAAAATGTCACTTTTTCATCACTTGACAGTTGGCTTAGGTTTTTACCAGCTTTAGCAGTTGTGTACCATCAAATTTTGATAATTAAATACTCACTTAGAATCTTTGCTTAGTTTTTGAGCATATCCAAAACTGCATTGAAATATATCCGAAACATATTGAAATATTCTGCTGGAATTTCCCATTCATTTTGAGTATTGCCACATCTTTTCCAAATAAATCCACAGGATAAAACTGTATGTTGGTACAGTGTCTGTAGTCAGTTGTAAATAACTGTACATCAAAAGAAATACACAGTGAAGAAAAACTGTAATATGATTTCATGAGGTTATCTTTCTTATGTTTGCTAATGCTACAGGTAAATGGGTTACCAAGAAGTATATTGGTTAATTTTTATGTTTTTTAAAAATTCACAGGAGATACCTGTTTTTTTAGTACCTTACTGGGAAATGGTAGAAAATACATATATGAATACCATCAAAAGTATACTTAGATGTCTAAGGGATGAACAGCACTCGGTGATTTATTACTTAGCAGAAGTTAGGTAAGTAGAAATAGTGGCTTATTACGTTAATAGTTAGTATTTACCTGGGGCATATGTTTTTTAATGCCAAAATTATTTTTACTATAATTTACAGAAAAAAATTCCAAGATTATTTGAAGCATCCTGATCTTAAGCAGGAGTTTGTATCTCTGTGGCAATCAGATTTTAATTCAATTGCTGATGACCTGCGAGAAGATGAGGAAGTGAAAGCAGAACTACACCAAAGAGTTACTGTAAGTAAATGGCAAAAGTTAAAATATTATTAAATGTAAAATATTATTAAATGTAAAATGAATTTTGGGTTTGGTTTGGTTTGGTTGTTTGGTTTTTTTTGCTTTTACCACTCCTATGGAACTATCTCACTTCCTCTTGTACATAAAGTATTCTGAGGTTTGGCCATATCCTTCTTATGTCTTATGACTAACAAATCTTAGCAGTAATTTAGTTTTTCCATAAATGATATATAGTAATATATGTTATCTAAAACTGATTTATACAAAATACAGAGAATTTCTTTGAAATGTTTTGTCCCAGGTACATCTTTGCTAAGTCATACATGTACTGAGAATTCTTCTTCACAAAAATCCATAAGGTCCTAACAAGTTCAAAGCCGTATTTAACATGGGCAGGAAGTAGAGCTCTTTTTGAGCTCGTATTTCAGAAAAGACATGGGGTTTAGTTGAAATCATATCAGGAAATGCTTCCAGAAAGGAGAAAAAAAATGCTGGTAACATTATTAGTTGGAGGGAACATTGGTGGAATCATGGTTGAATTTCCTGAGCTGGAAAAAGAATTGGATCTCCTTTTCTATTTCGATAGAATGAAGTAGAGGACTTAAAAATCATCATCCATATTTTGAATTTCTACTAAATTGAAGTACTGGAATCCCTCTGTCCTGTTTTTTAGAAAGCTAAAATTAATATTTGGCCTTTCACTCATGGCAAAAATCTATGTTTGACATTGTCAATTTCAAATTAGATTAAGAGGAGGTGATAGTCCCATATGATGCAATAAGGCTCAGATACTGTGATCAGGTTAAGCAGTTTGGAGTAAATAAATGATTTCCAGAATTTCTGTTTCTTAATGACCCATTCTACCCATTGTGGATCCCAAACCTGTGGGTGAATGTGAAGATGATATTTCCTCTATGCTTTGAAGTCCTGTCCATTGTACTTCCCTGAATGTGAGAATTCTGTCATACAACCTTCCTTGCTGCTAGAAAAGGACAAGAGAGGAAATTGAGAGTGACGATCTGTGGAATGTTTTTCCTGAAACATTTCCAGCTTTCCCAGACTGTCAGCTGGACCCTTTCTGAAATACTGTCTGCGTTGGAAGCTGCCAGCTGTGAAATCTAAAAAACAAATTTCTTTGATACCAACTGGAAAACGTGAATATCCACCCCATTTTGTGATGTGTGAAAAATTCCTCAAAGGCCTACAACCCAAAGGGCAGCCAAGGCTTTGAGATCATAAGGGTCTAACCTCAGAATTCCTGTTGATAAAATACTGCCTTTCAGTAATTTCTCCAATTACTCTCTGTTGCTATCACTCACATTGTCAGTCGCTATGGATTAGGCCCCCCTACTTGTCTTGTTCCAGATAGAAAAGGATTTAGCACATGCATCCATTTTTTCTTTTTTTTTCACCACCTGATTACAAGGAAGCTGATATATTTAACACTCTTCTCTTCCCGCTGCCTCTTATTCCACAGAAGTCTGTCGCACTATTTCCATGTAGAGATGGCAATGGGGAACAGAATGGTTGCGTGCATGTTGCATGCTTAATAGATCGTCAGTGCTGTCAGTACGCTATATAGTGCTGCTATTAGATACAGTCTACTGGTTGAAGAGCCCTTAGTTATGAAGAACATTGAAGGAAAAATGGCATGAAGCAGTCCAGATTGGAAGAATACTGGAACTCTGACATACTCAGAATTTTTCCTATATTTTTTCCCCTTTGAGTATTCTTCTTATAAGTGTATTAGTTAGAAAACAATTCAAGTGGGAAATTGTTGGTGCAGTTGAGAGCTTAGCTATTCATATTCTTATATCTTTTTCTAGCTTAAATAGATCTCTGCCTGAGGAAAGCAGAACAGCCTACACATTTGTCTCATACCTTTGTATTATTCTCTCTGGCACATTTGTAAAGCTACTTTCTGTCAGCTTTGTGTAAGCACATGACGTGTTGATCAGTCTTTCACATTTATAACAATAAAGAAAAAGCCCCAAATGGGAAGATGCCTTATGCACAGGCAAAAAATTTTGATTTTTAATAATAAATATGAAAAAGGTATTTAAGTTTTCTTTCATAGTTATTTCTCATATTTGATTTTGTGTTTTAGGACCTAAGAGACCTTCTTTGGGATATCTGTGATAGCAGAAGGGAAGAAGCAGAGCAGGAACGTACTGATATCATGAATGATGGCTGGTTACCAGATCATAGGGGGATTGCAGTGAACCATTTCTTATCACTTATGCAGGTATGACTGTACTACGGAGTCTGCAGTGGGAGGGGACAGTGCTCCTCAGAGCACTTTCATATGGTTGGCTCCAAATAAGTAAGGGATTGAGAATTAAATAAGCAAGTGTTCATGCCTCCTCTGAATTTACCTAGAAAGTTAGAAGACAAAATGTAGACATTCGTACATTTAACTGTTTGGCAGGCAGGGAAAGTTAAGATAAACACTACTGTTTTAGTCCAGGCCTTCAAACTTTTAATCAGGAGTGTATAGTATTACTTTTTGCAATTTTATCAGTCCAGTGAATCATCTGAGTTTTGTAACATGTATGTTAGAGCTGTTTATCCTTCTGTGATTGTGTTGACATCTACTCCTAATTTACACATTACATAATTCACTGTAGACCCACTTGTCCTGTATTTCCTATATCACAAAATTATTGTAATTTTACCAATGTGGCTTGAAATTTTACCTATAGACTGAAAAAAAAAATAAAATGCAAGGAATAGTTTTGATTATGTGATGTTATTTGTGGCTCTTGAGAAAAACCTGTTCCAATACAACTCAGCTTTCACATCTCTGACTTAAAGTTTTCAAGAGACCATCTTCAAATAGTTGGTTCTCTCTTCACCCACATTAAGCCGTTCCTCTCATTCAGCCTGATCTGCATTACTTGAGGTCCTGAAGTAAAGTAAGATTTCCCTGTGACTGCTGGTCTAGGTGCATAAATTTGGTTTAGGGCTGAACTGGACTGGAATAGACTAGGCTAGACTAGACAGGCTTTTCTGTAAATGCAGTGACCATTGTATGAAAATACCGGCAATTTTAAAGAAGGCAATGAAAACAATACTTTAAACACATGCCATATGAAGCTACTTCAGCTGAAAATTCAGGCCTAAGCATCTAGGGGTGGGCTTCCTGCCCGTTAACTCTCAGTGTTATTTTTATATATTTAATAAACAAGGGAAGCACTCTTTTATCTCATATGAGTGTTGTGGCAATTTAAGTAACATTTCTGAAGTAGTCAGTTGCTGGAATAAGGAAATTATTAACTCTGTTTTGTAAGAGTCTAAATAATGCCCTAAATAAAGAGTTAAGGCCACCAACTTGAGAGAAGTCAAAATACCAAGTAACTGCTGACTAAACCATATTCATCCTGTAATTACACTATTTATAGGACTAAGTATTTAAAAATGTATCTTGAATTATATGCATAAAGAAGCCAAAAGTAATATTGGTGAGCTTAAATATTTTATTTTTCTACTTTCATATTCGTGTATAATTTTGCAATCCTTATTCTCTTGTAACAGAATTTCATGGACATGTATGATGCAGTCCAGAGTAGATGCACTATGAATCTAATTTGATCTGTCTTGTGTGGATATGCAAACTAACCATTTAAAATTACAAATGCATGTATTAAATATATAGACGTTTTATAAAGAAAAATGCAAAGGAAAACATTTTTAATTACTTAGTATATACTACCTAAAATAAAGGAACTACTAATAATGCTAAAACAACAAAACTAAAACTCTAATAACTAAGTCTTTACGTTAGGGCTTTGTTTGAGAAACAGCTAAAAATAGGCTGCTTTGGTATTGAGCTCTCCATCTGTGGGTTTTTCTGTGGGAAGTTACATATATTCCCCAGGTGGCTCTGTTACTGTGTGAACACATAGATTTGTATAAATGCCGTTTACCAGATTTCTTTCCACCTTTCTGTGTACACAGTGTTACACTAGAAGATTCTCCTTAATTTATGGATAAGTGCTGGTTTACACCACAAAGGTTTTATCCTTTGTTTTGTGAATGTGGTTTTGTGCATTTTCCCATGAATATTTAGTACTGTTTTGTCAGTTAGAAGCTAACACCATACTGTATCAATAAATCAAAACCTGACAGGTGTGCAGTGTTTTTTGAATCTTCTTCCAAGATGATTCATAAAAAGATCTTCAAGACATTTAGGTGTGTAAAGTCTGTTGATTTCTTTGGTCCAGAAATACTCTATTGCTTTTAAAATTTTCTCCATCATTTAACCTTTTGTATGTTATGCTATTAAGGATTTTATTTCTTTTGAACAAAAAGATGTGTATAATTTGTTGATGTTAGTATACTTACTCCTATAGAAATATATATACAGAAAAGTATGTTTTAATTAAATTCAATGCATCAAACATTATTTTTGTAAATATTTTTCCTGTTCTAACAACTAAGACTTTTATTAATCCTTAAAAATACCAGTGTGAAGATGTTATAGATGCAGAATGAAATATTTTGAATACACTATAAATTTTCAAACAAATATGGTTGTTTGCTGCTCTCCCTCAAACTCTTAAGATTTAGAATAGCTTCTGCTATTGTGTATTTTAAAATGTAACAGAAGTTTGTTCTGCCGTGTTTTGAATTGCAGTATTTCTATCTTTTTTTTTTTTTTTTTTGAGGTTGAAGTGGATCGTTTCCAAGATACAAAGAGACTTCTTCATGATTATTATAGAGCAATGGAAGGAAAAATCCCAACAGAGTACAGTAAAGATTTTAGTAGGATCCCATTGCTAGATATTATGGATTTAGAGCAGAAAGAAGATCAAAACAACTCAAGAAGGTAGAAATACATTATTAAATTATACAAATATCAAAAAATACAATGTACTGGTAGTTTTGTGGGTGTATGGGGAAATATATGTGTGTGTATTATAAAGGATGGGAACTAGGGATTATAGTCAATTGATGAGTCTTGAATCATCTTACAGGTTTAGTTTATCAATTTTTTACTGATTTACCTATATAATTTTCATTAATGCATCTCAGAATTAGAAAACATTTTAAAAGCTGCCTTAAGGAGAGATCTGGTATAGAAAATTTTCCTACTTGCCTCTGTGTTGCTGATAATTTTCAGTATAATCTTCTCATAACTAAGTTAAATATTATTACAGAACTTTAAAATATTTAAAAATAGGTAATTAAATGGGTTATGTAATGAAAAATATAAATCAAGAGTCTTCAAAGATGCATGCTATATTAAAAGTTAAAGCAATACTATCAAATGATTTCACAATATAAAAAATGCTGTCAATAATGACACCTGCTTTTTGAAAATACAGTTCATTTAGAAACTATCTGAGTAATGAGGCTGTGCTTCTAGCCCATGTGGAATGTACCAGCAGATCATGCAATCATCTGACATAGTTTTATCCATCTATTATTACTCCTTAGCTTCTGTAGTTAAACTAGACAGTTTTCTTGTCATCCACATATTTAACCACTTTTGGTCATAAGGAAGTTCATCCCTTTTCTGTTGGTATGGCAAATTTTGAAAATAGCATTCTTATTCTCCTAGCATATTCTCCAATGTAGTTACAAATTAACACTTTTTTAATAAAGGGATTATGAATACTACCTTATATTTAATTTTTAAGGATTCCTCTGGTTTCTTGGAAAGTGCCTGAACCAGAAGTAATTATTACCAAGTCAAAAACCAAGGGATCTCTGCAGAAAAGTGCTAAGGATGATAATTCTGAAAATGGAGTGGTCACTGTTGGGAAAGATGAAAGTCTCATTACTGATACATGGCAAACAGCAGCAACAACAGTATCCAATATGGTAAATAATGTTTTTACATTTTACAAGTATTTACTTAAATATTTCTGCATATCAGACAGTGAAAGCCTCCCATTCAGTAGGCAGCCTAAACACACAGCGTTCTCACTGTATATCTCGATTTCAAGCCTCTTGCTCCACCACTGATATTGAATATGTTTGTGTTCCTAGGAGGAAAATTTTGGAATCTGTATATTATCAGCACTATTTATAACTGGCCTAGTCATTAAATTACTGCAATATTTTGAATGTTGACTCTATATGTCTACTTCTTCAATGACACATTCTGCTGTTAATCCCTCAATAGAAGCATGAGAACAGGGACAAGTTTTATCCTGTGATGCAATGTTTGCTCAAACCTTTCACAGCTTCAGAGGCTATGGTTACATTGTTTTATATATATAGCTAAAAGTAAATTAAGTTGGCTTTTCAAATGGTTGGTTTCTAGTTTCACTTTTTCTTTCCTCTGATAATTTTAAAGAAAGCAAATATCTGCACCCTTACAGTGTAACTGTAGTCTTGTTTTGTATACTGTTGATTCTTGCATTTCTCACTTTTTCCTAGAGTACAGGTAATACGTTACAAGAATTAAAACCACTATCTCTGTCTTGCATTTTTGCTGTAGAATTTTATATTTGATTAATTAAAATTTAATCAGTTTAATTCAGTAATGTGTTCAGTTCTTGGCCCCTCACTACAAGAGAGATACTGAGATGCTGGGGGTGTCCAGAGAAGGGCAATGGACCTGGTGAAGGCTTTGGAGCACAAGCCTGATGGGGAATGGCTGAGGAAACTGGGAGTGTTTAGTCTGGAGAAAAGAAGACTTAGTGGGGACCTTATCACCTCAAAGGAGGATGAAGCAAGGTGTCTTGTCTCTTCTTCCAAGTAACAAGTGTTAGATCAAGAGGTAATGGCCTCAAGCTGCGCCAGGGGAGGTTGAGATTGGATATTAGGAAAAATTTCTTCACCAAGATGGTAGTCAGGCATTGGAACAGGCTTCCAAGGGAAGTGGTGGAATCATCATCCCTGGAATTGTTCAGAAACCACGTAGATAAGGCCCTTAGTGACATGGTTTATTGGTGGACTTGGCAGTCCTGGGGTAGAGGTTGGAATTGGTGATCTTAATGGTCTTTTCCAACCTAGCTGATTCTGTGATATCTCCTTTGTTTTATTTAAATACTTTCATCATGTATCAGCTATTTAAAATGGTACTGGCACAGTGTTGATACTATGTACTTTACTATGCGTGACTATGGTGTCAAGGTAACAGGTGAAATACAGCTTAGAGAAACTGAAGAAGAAGAACGTCAGCAGCTAAATGTGAAAGAAAATCTGAAATCTTCAAAGCCATCAAGCAAAGCTACCAAGGATTCCAAAAAGCAATCTCCAAAAAAAACTCCTAAGAAGAAAGGTATTTGAAATGCAGAACTTGTTTTACCAGTGCTTGAAATTGCTGAAATGTAAATATATGAGTAATACAGAAAAAAGAGAGCCAAGCCATTTCTTTAGGATTTAATTTCTCTTTTGAAATGTCCAATGAATGTGACATATCAATATGCAAAGCTGGTAGTGATAAAGGAGTGTGGAGGCTTTTGAAAGGCGATTGCATTTAGTTAATCATATTAATGATTATTATGTGATTACTATGTGCGACTTATGATTATTATGTGATTATTATGTGCAAATAAATATTGTAAATAGAACCTAGAAAGTAAATATTAATTTTTCTCTATGTGCTGTTTTGGAATTTAATAGTTAGAAATAGTTTATCAAATTTAATAAAATTCCATTAAATTCTGTCCACTTCTGTAACATACTGTAAAGAATGTAAAATCTAATGGAATGTATAGTCCTAAAAAAGCCCAGGCTCCCATAGGGTTAAATCTTGCTCATAGGCCTGGCAAGAATCTACCCAACCAGATGAGAATACAAAACTAATTTGCAAAAGAGAAACTGACCTTAAAATCTATCACTTTAACCTAACAATCCAGGCAGTCTGCTGGAAGGAATTCTGGCATGCAATGCTGTTTATATATTTTTTCATGAATACTTCCTTAAGCAGGTAGTGCTTTAAGTAACTTCCTCTTTCTGCAAAATGTCATAGCTCCAGCAGGAAGCAAGGCTAGTAGCCTATGTCTAAGCCTTGGACTTTTTGTAAAGACATTCTACACAGCAAAAGAGGGGCTTAAGCCCTGTGGATGTGAGGGTAGCCTGAAATTCAGGGACGTAATTTCCAAGTCAGAAAGCTGTAACTGAGAGTTATTATGCATAAAACACGTTTTTCTCTTTGACAGGCATTTGATTCAGTGCTCTCTGGTTGATTTTCCTCATAATATGGTTAACAAGTATAGCCACATAGATGCCTAATTTGTGGCCCACAGGAATCCTAATATGTGTTTAACATCTCAATCCTGCCAAAAGAGTATCAGATGTTCAGATTTCTACAAAAACTTTGTAATAAGAACCCAGCAGCAATCACCTGGTGTATGCTAAGTGGTTAGGTTGGGGTTTGTGGATTGCTTTTTGGAGCTAAATTTTTCGTGCAGACCTACATGACTTACCTGAAATCACAAATCTATAAAGTGAAAGAACTGCAACTGGAACTCAGCTGTGCATTCCGCATGGTAGAAGATGAAGTTATCAACTGATGTATCTGTAACTGAAGTATTGATTTTGATTTCATGACAAATACAGTATTACTATAGTCATCCTGTAACAGAAGAATTGTCTAGGATACAGCTATAGGCTAGCAACTGAGTGATAGAGATTATCACATGATTTTATCACTTCGAGATTTGACCATTTGCTTTATGTTGACCTTCTGTATCATGTAGATTTTTTTTTTTCTTTTTTCCCATATTTCCATCTGCTCTTCTTCTAGGACAAAGCAGTTACAAATATTCTAATATTTCTGAGTAACAGTCAAAGTGTTGTGACTGCAGAATTTCACGCAATCTTTGAAAAGCTGATGAAATATCTTTACAATGTCTGTTCATAGATGTGTGATTTAAAACAAGCTGCAAAAGCAGCCAACAGACTGGTTCAAAAAAAGCATGAAATAACATACCTCTCTTGTTTGCTTTTTTTTTCCCCCCCGACATATTATGATTTTTTAAATAGCATTATTATTTTCACTGCTTTGATGGTAACATTTACTATCATAGCATTTTTACTACAGTTTGCTAAACATGAATTTGCTCCAGAAGGAACAGCTCTCAATCAGAAGAGATTTATGTGCTGGTTGCGATATATCAGTAGTTTTTAGGGTCAAAGAGGACATTCTACCATCTAGGATCACAACAGAGTCACACCTGCTCATTCATGATTTTCCATTTAGAAGTACATTTTAGGATGTAATTTAACCAGTTTTAATGCAGTTGTATGTGCTGGAGTAATTTTATGTAGTGTTAATCTCAGCATGTCTTGCAGATATCAACTACAGTTGAAGAAACCTGAATGTCTTATTTTGACATAAGATACCTGAGTAATCACTTTCATATTCTCATAAATGGTCACATCAAGTAAATTGGAAAGTGCCATTTTTCATTTAAAACAAAATGCTGTCTCGTAAGTGTCTGTGTTTGGATACACAAGCTTATTACCAAAGTCCAAAGACTGTGGAGGTCTGTTTTCCTGCAGGATTACCTTCTACCACATCTATGGGTGAAGAGAATACAGTTCCTATAAACCAAGAAGAGTTAAAGAAACAAGAACTGGCACTTAAAATAAAGCAAGAATATTTCAGTGCCTTGAAACATGAGGGTATGTTACTGTTTGTTTACTTATGTCAGGGAATGATTGTTATTCCTAATTTAGGTAGTGTCATATCAAAACTAGCCAGAAACTAGGCAAAATGAGAGACAAGTAAGAAAAAGGGGAGAGAAAGGAGCGTCTGAAGAAATCACGATTTTTTTTTTTAGGATGGTAGTCATCAATGATTTTGTGTTAAATATATTTAAAGTAGAAATGTGGGTTTGGTTCTTCTTTTTTTTGTCTTTTGCTTGATTTCATTTAATTTCATTTTCCATGATTAAGCAAGTATTAAGTATAAGCAAGTGTATTAACAGATTAAGTATCACATCAATGGTTAGCTATTCTTCAGTATCCAACTGAATTGAATTTACTATTTGAAATGTTTTGATCTGGGAAAGAATTTGATGGTGATTATGTATTTGTTGATGCTCTTCTCCCTGATTACCTCTTCTGCAAGCCGCATGGGATTCAAGCAACAAGACCCAGCTTTTGTTTATTCTTCCAAACTCCTTTCAAGACAGTCCCTTCAAAAAAACTATGTACTGTTCAGTCCTTCTGTCTCTTTGTCTATCTTACTGAATAACTTCCAATCCAAGTCATCAATTTCAGCAAAAGGTAGATCTCTGAAAAACAGAAGTCCCAGACTAAAAGTGGGTTGTGTTTTTTTTTTTTTTAAACAAGTGTTTAAACTAGAAGAAAGAGACCTCTTTCTCACTAACGAGAAGATAAAACCTAGCTGTTAGAGATTCTGTTTGTCAAGAGTTGGCAAGCCCTTCATCATGTATCTACCTCTATGGCAGACTAATTTTGCATAGTACTTACTATGAAAATCAGAGAGCAAACAACAGTTAATGAACAAAATACATATTCATAAGGCATCTTGAGGTCCACACCACACCAAATGCTTGTACACCTACCACTTTCAACACAGTTTAATCCAAAAACATTTTAGGAATACACACTCTTAAGATTTTAGGATATTGAGGAGAGGAATGGTAGTAACCTTGAAGATCTTAACAGTATGCAGATAAATCCTAGTGATTCATTGACACATTTTGTTTTCTTGAGTTTGCTTCATTTTCGTCTTCTACTTAACAAAAAAGCCAAGATAAGTAGTGAAGGAAGACTAAATATGTTATGATATGTCATAACCGCACAGGCACATAGCTGGTACCTTTGAAGATCACAGTTTCGTTTACAAGTATGGTAACTGGATGTTTGACCTTTTGGTTATCCAGATACATAGAGACTAGCAAGTCGCTAGTTGTGGACAGTTGCTAAGTTTTTAATGTTGATTTCATATTCCTTTTACTCTGTACTGTTAAAAGAGCAGCTTTATGAGTGAGCAGTACCTGCTTCTGAAGATGCAGGAAGACAAAAATTGCTGTACACTTACATTTGTACCATACTGATAGCAGCTACTCAAGAAAATAAATACAGAGAAGTCACAAATGAGGCAGCCTTGTATTAAAGAAGAGTGACTAGATAGGCACAGAGCATCTTCTAAGGTATTTCTGGTTGCTTAGAAGCTTTACTTTTTGTCATCAAATAAAATAACCCTATTTGAGACCCAAATCTATTCTATATTTAAAATTTTGAGCGATGACTATTTCTTGCTTAAAACAGAAATGGTACACAGTTGCATTCTACTGTGAATTGAAAAATAACATTAAAAGGACACGCTGTATATTCTCCAGGGTCCATCTTTCTACACTGGTTTCCTACAGAAAGTTTCAGCCCCAAACCTAAGTATTTTGAAACCTCAGTAGCATATAGAATAAAGATCATAATATAAATAATTTTACAGTCTAAAACTTTGAACTTACTGTACCTATTACTATATAGCATTAATTCTTTAAAAGATTCTGTAGTATAGAAAGTTAAATGCAAAGAAGTCTCAAGTTGAATCTGAATTTTCTTTCAGGATTGAAAATAACCTCTAGCTACTGACCCTCTTTTCTTACTCTTCTTTTGTAAGGCTTTGAATTTTTTGTTAGGCTTTTTTTTGTAAGGCTTCTTTTGTAAGGTCTTTCAGTGCCTGTTCTGTGTTCACTCAATACAATACCTTAGCTGCCTTTCCATCCAGTTGGCATCATTTTCACTTTGGACATTGGTGACCTGTTCACATTTCTTGTCCTTTTATCTCCTTCTATTTAAGTATTAGCCTCTTAGAGACTGATTTTTTTTTTTCTCAGTTCTTCATCTTCTGAAAATGAAAAATAATGAAATTCTTATTGTTTTTAAAAGTTACATGTAAATACTCTATGCATAACTTTTGGTAGAGGTGAAGTATTTTCTTAGTGCTCAGTAACCAAACTAATTTCTAATCTGAGTTTCAGATATAGAATAGTTGTATGTGGGAAGCTTGGAACAAAACCAGTAAAGTTAATTCTAAAGAGCTGGATGTTAGAAACAAGAAATCAAACTTTTATTGTGACTGCCATACAGAATGATTTAGATGTGTTTTCTTTAAAATTTATCCATAACAAGTTACTCACACATGCGTCATCAATCTTCTAGGTCTGTTGCTGTTTAGGATTAATTTAGTTCGGTGTCACTGCCTACTTAAAAATCCTCTGCACCTCTGTATTAGTTTCATTAAGGTATTTGTTATTTTGTGAATTCTGATACTAAAAAAAGATACACTTTCGTAAAATACATGATGCAATATAGGTGATCTGAAAAATAATTCAAGAATACGATCACTTAAATAAATAACTTACTGCCCAAAGACAGGTCAACATGTTAAACTGTAGGTACTTAATACTGAGAATTTTTGTAAAATTTTATAAATAGTAATTATTATGACATTCCTGTTTGAACAGAGGTAACCACAAAATTTCGACTAGAACTTATAAAAGAAAAAGCTTTAGCATTTGTTGAAAAGCTAACCATGAAAGCAGAAGAGGCTTATAAAGATATGGAAGAGTGGCTTGGATCCAGGTTCTTGGCAGAAATGTCCAGGTAATGTATAGCTAATTTTAAACAGGAACGATTTTTTTCAAACTAGGATATGCTAGAAAAGATGGTTGTTTATACAAACCTGAAAAAAAAGGTATAAAATAATAATTTAATTTCATGAACTGGAATTTCATTTTATATGAAATACCTGAATGGTAATAACTCATTTCTTGAATGGTAAGAAGGTTCTGCTGGCAGCAGTAGAGTTAATTATCAGTTCTGCTGGTTTTATAGTCTACAGATCTAATACATTTATGAGCATCAGCAAGCAACCAGTTATTCCATTTAGTAGAAGCTGATGTATCATTTCAGTGGCTTCTGTCACTTCAGATTGTGGTGTTATTTTCTTTCCTGTGCTTTACATATGCTTGAAAATTCCACTCACTCTTATTATCAACATGTATAATATTTCTCAAAATTATTTCAAGGTCCATTAAGAAAACTAAATAAAATGTGCTTGTGACTACCATATTTAGGCCATCTGGCATAGAACAGCCTATCCATAGAATTAAAAGATTTTATTCTCCAAAAGAAAGGGGTCATTTTGCCTTTTGGAAAATCTTTCTTGCCTGTAATAACTTTTGAAGCATACCTGGGACAGTGCTAGGTGATCCATGTCAGGGCAAGCCAAAGACAAGAGACATGAAATGTGGGATGTGAAGGCTCTAACAGTCAGTAGCTGAAAGAGGGTGAGCCTCTGCCTTCCAGACAGTTTTATTTGCTCTCTTGACAAGAAGAACTACCAAAGACACAATAATTACCGAACAACATGTCCTTTGACCTGACATCCCAGGCCAAACCTATGTCTAGTTAAACATTATAAAGAGCTGACATCTTTCCTTATATACATTGTACTCATTACACTTGAAGCAGGAGTTCATATGGTCCTCCACAAAGCTACTTTAGAAAGTGCTTTGTACGTCTAGGATTTAGGGGTAAAGCAGAAGATAAGGCATTGAAATAGGATAAAGGATGATTACAGTTGGACCATGTGTGCTCCACCCCTCTAAAATTTTGGAGTAAAGAAAGCCTCATCCTTTCATATTTTTCCATCTGATTTCTTCTATGGCTTAGATCTCCCTTTATATAAATTTCTTACCACAGTCAAAAGATTTCTTGCTGCCAGAGGGGGACTGCACTTCATAATGATTTTGCTGAGTACAGAATTCCACACAGACAATTTGTAATTCTTACTTCAGGAAAGCTTTTGAAGTGTAAACACATTAAAATTTGAGCCTATGTTATTAACGTTGTCTATTAGTAGTACTCAGTGTTTTCTACATTTACACTTTCACAGTGTTGAAAAGCTGGTTGAGGTTGCACGACATCATATTGAGAGTTCTAGCAAAATTCAGTATGAAATTATTTTAGAAGAAACCGATTTCTTCATCAGCAGTGATGTAAAAGTGTTTCCTGACCCTGTTCCTTCACCACACGTTCCACATGTAGAGACCTCTGGAAGTAGTACTCTGACTATGTCACAACTTACTGCACTTCATAAGCAGTTTCTTCAAGTGGCACCCAAAGGTAAGAAAAATTTTTCCTTTTCATTTCTGAAGCACTGTTTGTTTCCTACTTAAAATTTAAAATACTTACTGGGAGCCACTAAACATTAGTTACCAATATTTTTAAAGATTCTGCTACATATAAAAGTAAAGCTATAGTGCAGAATATTGAAAATGTGAAATACCAGACTAGTTGGAAGCTTTTAATGTCTTTGCTATGGGCTTTATATCCTCAAGACCACGTACTTTTCCTCAAACTGGTGCCTCTGTAATACATTTTTAGGAGTGGTATTTATCCTTCTTACTTTGCTTAGACATGCCAGTTTTTAACTTAATTAAGAATTCACAGGTCAGTGAACACTGAAACTATATTATTTTAAAAGACATTTTTAAAGAAATCAGTATTTTCATGAAACTATTAAATAGGGTCTAGTTTAACTATTAACAACTGTATTCTTCAAGTCGGTGTGTACCAGTTGTTTTGGATGATTTGCAATTGTTAAGTCAGATACATAAATTTTTCCCTTTGTATGTGTATCTATTGGGTGCCTACCCTCTAATTCTGGGAACCTTGGTCCTAGGATGCCTGAAAGGATTTTCTTGCAAAACTTACATCTACTGTACAAACATTACAAAATAATTTAGATAAGGCAGTTTTAAACTGAGATGAAAATTTGTTAAACACATTTGCACAGGGTTTCATTGCTACTATAATTTTAGTACAATTGCCACCAAGATTGTGAAATACAATGTGTAAATGTGTACTTTGGATCCAACTCTTAGTAAGGCTACAAAGGCACAATGAAGTTGAATTTAATCTTTATTCAGAAATTATTTTCATGTGTATTTATGCAGCAATTCTGATTACATTTTGAGCATGATTTTCCTTTAGAGATGCATGGCATCTTATCTGTAGTGTAGGAGCATGAGTGTGTGTGTAAGCATTCCAAACTCTTCAATAGAGACTAATTTTGCAGATACTATTGCATATATAATGCCATGTGAAACTAAAAATCTATACATTTGTAATCATTAAAGGTGAAATGCAGATACCAGTTTGACTGTCATTCCACTTCAAAGGTTTTCTTTTGCTTTTAAATTATTTATTCATTGAGACATTTAAAACTAAAAAAAAAATTGGCTGATACAAACGCTAGTGTTCTTGACATGTTAAGGACAGAACAACTGTTTTCCTTGTACTTTCATGATAATCAGCAAGAAATCAAATGAAATCTTTACCTTTATACAGTATTGTCCTTTTAATATGATATTCTCTAAAATGACCCAAAATGTTTTGCACGGCTGTCCAGAAAGGTAAATATCTTGACTTAATAGTCACCAGTTAATAGAAGAATGCTGTTGCATGTTCTCTGGGACAATGGTAAGAAACTATTTTTTAAAATAGGTCCCAAAGAACATTCTGAGTTAGGATGGGAAGCACAAGCTGCGCAAGTCACCTGTAAAGTGCTTCCTTCCATTCTCTTACACACTTTCAGACCACTAAATCATATTCCAGATTTCCTAAAACAGCTACTCCCTTTGATTATAGAGTCTCCATAGCAAGAGTGATTTTCTCTCCTAAAACATCAGAAAAATTTTTCACATCCTTCTGTCGCCCCTTGTTGAGAAGAATGCTCAACAGAAAATATACACATCCTTAGTAGTTAGTCTCTTACTGAACAATAGAGGGAAACCCACTAAAGTACTGGACACACTAGAACTGAAACTGTTGGACAGGAACTCTAAAGGACACACAAACTTATCCCTGTCTTGGAAAACCTCTAAAGGGATCTAGATGTGCTGCCAAACATCGTAGTCTTCTAATTCTTACTCACCTGAGATGTCCTCTGAGCATTCATACTGGAAATCCACACAAACAAGCAAGCGAGGCATAGAGTATAGGGCAAGTCAGAACAGAATAAATCTACCAATCTTCTGTGCTATGAAAATAGCAAAATTCCTAAAGTTGTTCTGAAAATGGAATATTAGGCTTATTTTCTATAGCATTATGGAGATTACATAAAGAAGAATTTTATCTAGAAACCCAAGCAAATAAAGAGTAATGAAGGAGAAATTATGTTGGAAGAAATAAACATGCGAACAGTTTTCTCACAGGATATTTGGTAAGTGTCAAGAGGATGTCTTTTCATGATGTGTTTAAAAAATTGCCAAAATTAAAGCAAAAAGTGGTAATGTCAATATACTTACAAACTGTTTGGTATTTACAATAGATATCTTACAGAAATTGTAAACAGTTTTGTGTTTCCTAGGAATTTAAAGTATAAAGAACTGCTGATTCATCACAGACAACTTTATTCTATCCTGCACACTTGGTTCTTCATGGAAGTACATTACTCGCCATTCTAAGCACCAATGGACAAAAAATACAGCCTGTGCTGGACCTTCCTACGTACTGACACAGTCTTTCATTTGATAAGGAAATATTTTAATTATTCTTTTTTTTTTATTCCAAGTGCCATTTCCTAAACTCAGTATTTGGGAGTATTTGCATTCTCAAATGCAGTATTTGTTAATTTCACTAACTACTTTGGTCAATTTGTTAACAGTGCTTTAAAATATTGGCTCAGGAATGTGCTGCTTTTTTATAGAAAGAACTGTGGCAGGTCTGAAAAAGGAGCTACTAACACTTCTTTTCCTTCTTTTCTCTTCTACAGTCTCTTTGGATATGTTCTGTTCTTATCGACAAAATTAAACTAACCATCCATTAGATTTCATCCTCTTGGATTGCCTTTAACACTGTATTCTTCCTATCGCCACATATATTATCAATACAATACACCACATATATTCCAATACAATTTGGAATGGCTCAATTTTCTTCTAAAGGTGCTTCAGAGAATGCAGTTTTGGTAATGTTTTGCATTAGCAAACAGATCAAGATTCTATCCCAGACCTTTCTTCTCCATCTTATGACTCAATTACACAATGAAATTTTAAATTTTATTCATCTGTTTACAGTCATGATCTTCATGAATCATTTCAGTTTGAATTATAGACCTGATTATTCAATAGAAATAAACTCCAATCAGGTTTAAAAAACTTCAATATCAAATATAAAAAAGAATGTTTCAAGTAAAACACAGAGGACAGCCTATGATCAAACTAAATTACTGTTTTCATATTGTAGACTTGTCAGTTAAGTTTTTCTAGGTTGCTAAATTTGGAATATGCTAGATAGTCTATTAAAGTGTTCATCTAGTTCAGCTGAAGTATTACATTTATAGTAAAATATTTTGTTGAGTGGAATAGTCAGAATTATATGATGACCTTGAATAATGTCTATAGATTATGCTTTCTCTTCCCAGGCATTTTTGTAGAAAGAATTGAAGACCTTATAGTAGTAATCCTCATGATATGACTTTGATGTGAATAGAGTGAAGTCCATACGTGAGCATCATCTCTAACTTGATGTGTTCATCATCTCTAACTTCACTTTTCTAAGACTGTATTTCTTTTTAACATGATTTTTTCAAAATTTGAAAGTAAGAAAGGTTAAGTTTGTAGACAGAAGAAGTATCTTTTGCTAAACAAACAATATAGATAGAAAATGCCTTAATTTTAGGGATATAAAGCCTTTAATCAGAGATCCAGAACAGCTACAATACCTCTCCCCACAGATAATGGAAAATTTGGTAATTCTACTGATTTAGTTTTACTTACACCTCCTATTGTATCTCTTACTAAATCATGTATATTATTTAATTTCAGAAATCTCTATTTGCCTATAGTATTTAAAAATCTGTATATCCAATTACTTTTATGAAACATATTTAACGTTTGTCTGTTTTTGTGCAGTTGAGTATATATATATATGTATTGAGATTTCAGTTAGCATGATGAACTCTCTGTTCCCCTCACTGCATCTGTGCAGCAACAACCATACCTTATTCTGCGTAATTCTAAATTTAAAATCCCAATTCTTGCTAATTAGTAAATATTGGAGACACAGCAGAATCAGTAATAATTAGTGAATAAATGAAGTGAAAACCACCTGCAAACGATGATGAGTATCTCAGTATCTTGGAGGGAATGAATCATATTTTTGAGACTCATCTTTTTTTTATCTAAGGACAGACGTATCTTATAATAATAGCTCTTAGACTACTAAAATTAGATGAATATAATTCAACCTCATGGTTTCTTTCACTCATTCATCCCTTACAACGTTGCTGTAAGTTATGTAACTTCCATAGATCATCATCCAAACTTCAAGTCAGGAATTGCTATGGATGTTTTTTTTGTCAGTGAAAATTGAGAGGAATAGGAATCTGTTTAAATATCTTGGTAAATTTTGATGAAATGGGGATAAAATGTTAAAATAACTATCTCTAGTACAGGTTTACAATTGCTCATATTTTGTTGTCTGTGTAAATCTATAATCTGAATCTTTATTCCAGTTCCCTGGTTTAGAGACATATTTTCATACAGCACCTGCTGACTAGTTTATCATTAAGAAATAGTGTCTTTTGTGTATCTTTGCCTTATAACTGAAGTATGGTGATTGCTTTTTCACCCTTCTGTCCCTTTAGATGTCACAGTCCTGGTTCACAGGGTGTACATCTATGTATGCTTATGCTGCTGTCATTCTTAACGCTCTTTTTTGACTATTTATTTTTCTGTTTTCAGTTTCAGTAGTATTCACAATCTTAATTTCTTCATTAAGGTGTTTTGGGGTGGTTTTTTTTTTTGTATTTATTTGTTATGTTTCTGAACTGCTTATGCAAATGTAAATTCTTGTCAATATCACCTTGTGTACCAGTGAATGATACTTCGGAAAAAAAAAAAAAAAGAAACCCAATTCTACTTCATGCAGCTTTTTCTCCATTAGTTTGCCTTTTGATTCACCGATGACAAACTTTTACGTGAAAAAGGGGTCACTTCACAGGTAGTATGGGCTGGCTTCCTTTAGTATTCCATGTTCTTTCAATCATGCCATTACAGAAAATCACACCTTTTCGCATGCTCCCAATTTCCTCCTTCTAGTCCATCTCCTGGGTTTTT